GGATGCATGGGAATGGTTCAAAGCTGCACCAAGGAGGTTTAGACTGGATGTTAGGAAACATTTCTTCACCGAAAGGGTCTCCAAATCCTGGTACAGGCTTCCTAGAGAGGTCGTCGATGTCTCGAGCCTGTCAGTGTTTAGGAGGCATTTGGCCAACGCCCTTAGTAACATGCTTTAACTTTTGGTCAGCCCTGAAGTGGTCAGGCAGTTGGACTAGATGATCGTTGTAGGTCCCTTCCAACTGAACTATTCTATTCAGCTGATAAAAGCAGCACTAATTTGTAAGTAGTAATAGTGCAATAATTATAAGAGTGTTGTCATGATTGCGATTATGAATATTGGGAAGCCAGGTACCTGCAAATCCTCAGCTCAGACACCCAAACAGCGATGCCTGGCAGCAGTCTCTTACAATCAGTTAGAAGAAATACAGAATTAAGTTTCCAACAAAAACCTTCCTTCCCATCTTGCCTTGATCCTATCAAACTGTATCGAAATTTCATATATAAATCTGATTATACTGATTATCAGTCATGGGCTCATCAGTGCCCTGGTCCACTTGCTACAAGACACGAAGTCTTCAAGGAAGCATCCCTTACATACAGTCTGCATAGGATGGACTGCTGCCCGGGTGTGCACTTGGTGTTCCATCACAATTAATCTCTTGGAATAAGCAGGAGACATGTTTCAGAGGTTATTTTTGCCACTGAACATCAGGACCTCCATACTTTACGTGCTTTTTTTACAAGGCTGGGTTGAGCATGCCTCTCTCTTTTAGTTAATGTGGGCTAGTTGCAGGTTGTGCGAACTTCCTTTGTGCTATTTTCTCTTTCTTATCTGTTTTCCTGTTCAAATCTGTACATGCCTTTGTGCGAGTTTTATGTTTTTTCTGCATGTGGGTTTTATTGCTAATCACAACAGAGATTATTGAAGCAGTGAGAAAAATGTAAGTTAGATATTACAATCAATCAAGTACTTCTAATTCCCAGGCTTTATTGTGTTCTGCCTTTTTGGTTTTATGAATTGTCATCTCTACACTAGCCAAACTGCATTTTAAAAAAGAAAAAAATTCAGAGTTGTTGTTCATATTTACTGATCTAATAACATTGTCTTAAGTTCTTCCATCTGTTTTGAGACTCTGCATCTGAGATACTGCTATTTGATAAATTCACAGTTTTATTTAAACTCTATAATAAAAAAGTGCATATAGATACAGACTAGGCCAAATGCAAAATCATGTTGCATTTTTTTAAAAAAGGATTGTTTTTCAAAGTTAGGCTTATTTGATTTATACACTCAGTGGTTAACAGTTTCCTGAAAACAGGCTTCCTTCTAAATAATTTTGATTTTGTTTTGCTTTTTTTTTTTTAACAATAGAGTAACCCAGAAAAATCAATTTCTGTTTTGTTTTTCACTTAGCGTGTGAGATAAATTCCTTGAAAACCCAAAGGAAAATAATAAAGTCTGTGTGGTTTCTTTTAGTTTGCCCAATTTTTGCCTTTTATTCCCAGTGTATTGTGTCTTATTTTAATTTTATGTTAACATTTTCAACTTCTGTGAGGTGAAGTTTTTCTTCTGCATTATATGTCCTGGATGGAGGAGTGTGGGTGCAAAACTCTGGGTGTTTTTCCAATAGTTTCATGTGCTACAAAGATGACCAGAGCAAAAAGCTGTAATAGGGGCTGAGAAAGGGCAGTGTTGGTACTGCAAGCACTGTGTTCCCCAGCTAGAAAGAATCAACAAATCCCTTCTTGCCCTACCAAAAGAAAAAAACCCTTTATTCCAGTTTCGGTGAGGCTGTTTACTGTGAGATATGTATGTTAGATAATGTTTCTGTACTGGCACTAGAGCTGGGAATTTATCATTTGAAGAGCTGAAACACCTAGCTGAAAAATATTAAGGGCAAACCAGGAATCCTACTTTTCTTATTACTTATTTTCACACTGGCTGTCCATCTGGGTAACATGCATGTGTAGGAAAAATTGGGGAGGGGTGGGGGGGATGCGCAGTGGGTCAGCATGGGGCTTTTTCTCCAGAAATCATTACGTGAGTCTGTGTTGTGTTGTACCTCTTACTTTAGCTTGGTTAAAACAGTGCAGGAAAAACAAAACTAAAAAAAAAACAACCCCCAAACCAAACCAACCAACCAACCAAAAACCCACCCAAAAACGCCACAACAACAAAAAAACCCCAAATACCAAAAACCCAATGGTTTTTGGTGCCCCCCCCCCCCCCCCCCCCGCTATTAACTTAAATGGTCTCCATCAGCATTGCTTTTGAAAAGAGGTTTTCTCAATACAAGGAACATCCGTGAACAGACTCTTCTCTGTAGTAACTACTGTACATTGCATGTTTGCCCACTGATAATAAAAATCCAGGGAGGATGCAGGAGCAAAAAACTTGTTTGTATTAAACATGTTATACAGAAAATTAGGAATTTAGGGGAGACTATGTACGAAACATCCCCTGTTCGTGGTGCCATGGCTACACTGGATCAGAGCTACTAAATGATTTCTGGGAGCCAGAACTGGAAATTCTTACTGAAGCTTCAGTCAGGAAAAACTTCCTTGGTGTCAGTCACATTTAAGCCTTTGAAATAATATACATGTAATTTTTAGTTGCTTTGCTTAATTAGGGTCTTTTCTAGTCAGCTGCTTTGGTTTTAGTTTGTTTTTTTCCCAGCTGCTGAACTTCACTGGTTCAAATTTTTTTTTCTTTTTTTTTTTTTTTTTTTCTTGGTGCTCAGATGAGTATAGGATCAAACCAGTGGAAGAGGTCAAATACATGAAAAATGGGGGAGAAGATGATCAGAAAATAGCAGCCAGGAACCAAGAAAACTTGGTAAGGATTGAACTTATCACTTCTCTAATGAAATAACGTGGCTCTGCGTTTGTAATGAAATATGCAATGTGCAGAACATTCAAACTACAGCTTACAGCAAGAGGATTTTCTCAAAATGTCATAACTCTCTGCAAAGCTTGCATAGAAGGTGCAAAATATGACTTTTTCCTGCTTGTCTTTCTGAATTAGGCTTTACTTGATCTTAGAGCAAGTGCTTCCATGATTATACTCGCTCACCTCCTTTGCAGATCCAAATATACGCACTTTGAAATGTGTGTGTCTATATTACAAACGAGTTGGTAGTAAAACAGCAGCGCACTGCCATTAAGAAAATGACCTACTTATGTAGATACTATTTGCTTTGTGCTTCCTAGTTTTACATATTTTAAAATTCCCAGGGAAGGCAGTTCGGAATAGAAAAAACAATATATTCATAACAGAGCATTCACAAGAATCATTTTGTGTGTGTTTCTTTTTCCCTGATTTGAGCATCTTGCCGGTTCATAGTTCTACTTACAGGAAGAAAATCTCAGGTGAACTCATAGTACTGCTTGAAATAAGTAGGGTGCTGTTGAAGCAGCTTAAAAATCACAGTTGAGTCACTTCTGGCATTTCTGAGAAGCCATCTCTTCTAAAGCTGAAGGAATGTGGATTCTGTAATTGGTTGACTGGGGCTTTGCCCAGTTTAAATTTTTTAAGACATCCCGCAATTATAATAGTTGGGTGCAAAATTTCACGTCTGGTTCCACTCACTCGTTGCAGCTTTTCTTCATGTAGGATTGGGGTTTTTTTCCCCTCTATCAGTAAGATCAAAGGGGGAACATCATCATCAGATTTCAGTGGAACTGTAACTATTATCACCAGCTGAGGATTTGCTTTTTGCCATCTTTGGGCAGCTATACAAAAATCCACTGTTTGGAATTTTTTCTTTTCCTGAAGATGTAAGTGAGCTCCAAGCAAACTGGATACTTTATATTCTCTATTCTAGACACACATACGTGTATTACAACAACAAAGAGTTTATTTTCCTGTCCTAACCTCATTGCTTGAGTGGTGGTTGAGCAGCAGGCAAAATGATTTCTGCTTTGGTCTCCAGATTAGGTGTTTGCCACCTGCAATTTTGCATTGCTGATGCTCCAGTGGACAGCACAACTTGCTTGCACCAGGATTTTGTTGGGTTTTTTTTAAAAAAAAAAATTGAAACATTGCTGAGAATATCACCTTTTCTAGTAGCATCCACAGTGCATTCAGCTTTATCGCCATTGTAAGCATGTTTGTTTTGAACTCGAAGAAATGTGACTGCAAGAATCTTTTGCTCGTTTTAGAGACCCCAGTGCTTTGTTGGTAAACAGAGAAAAAGGAAAAATGAGCACAGTCCTCAGGGTTTTTTTTGATTAAAAGATGGGAAAAGTCGGGCAGGTTAAATTTTGAACTAGCCTTCATCTGTAGTTAAATTAGAGTATTTGGAGAAGGTAACATACTGCTTGAAGACAACAAGGAATAGCTCAAGAAAGCTTAGGTCTGCTGACGCGACTCAATCACTGAAGTTGTCGTCAAAACTAGGTAGAGATATATTTACACTTCTGTTAGTGCCTGCTTTCTTGTAGCACCTAAGGGTTAGCCTGATGAATTTAGTAAGAGACATTTCTATGGCACATTATTATTTGTTATTTAGTATTTATTATGGTTTTGTTTGATGGGATCAGTGGGTTTGTTGAAAAAAGCAACAATATTGAGCTGGAGGGCTGGTATAGCTCTCTTCTCTGTCATATCTATCGGGAGAAAAGAAAAAGACAATAATGCAAGAAAGTCTTCAGTCAGACAGGGTGTATATACTTTAAAACAAAATCTATCTTGCACACCAAAAGGGCTTTATTTTCCTTTTCCTCATTTTACTATAAGGAGATTACATTGTCTGTAATGTATGCAGCTTTTTAATCCTGAGAATTGTCAAGTCCTCGTCACTCCTGGATTTTGTAAAGGCGTTTCACTGTTCAAGTTCTCCTTAGTAAACATGTTTCAGTTCACTGCCTAGACGATGGGTTAAGCTACCCATCACTCAGGCTTTAGTTTTCTTAATGTGTGAAAAGTTGGCAAGTGCTTACATAATCCCATCTTCTCATCAGCCATTTCCAGGCAACAGAAATGTTAGGAACAAGAAAAGGCAGTGGGAGAATCGACCAGCCCTTTTCCCTCCTCTCTTGTTTCTTAATCCCACGTTTCTTTATTGTCACAGGGCTGCTAATTCACATCTCTCTCAAAAAGGGCCCAGATGAGATGTATAACCTGAATGTCATTATAGTCTGTTCCCTGGGAACTGCTCTGGTGTGGGTTATCTTATCCTCTGATACTGGTGGTTGAATTATGTTATTCAGATGCCATCAAATTTTTTGGTCTCATCATCACTGTTACTTTTCTAAGGTATTTTGAAGTCTTGCTTAAAAAAAAAAAATCTCTACTCAAGTGAAAATAAAAGCTCTTCCCTTATAACTTAGGCTCTTTGATGTGGTGCCATCTCTGCCTTTGGTGTTGCAGTGTTTCTAAGTCAGGGAGAAAAAAAGGTCATGCAAGTACATAAAGAAAATTGGAGAGCATGGCAGACACCAGGCAAATTGTCATTTTGTACTGGGGTCCTGTGGCCAGGGTCCCAGGCTTTTATTCCATTTAAACAGAGAGCTGGAGACAGGCTGATACAAGCATGGGTATCCTTGGGAGAGACATCTTTCCAGCTTCAATCTAAAGCTTAAGCAGGGTTCAAAACTTGAGCAAGGCTGACATTGTAAAGCAGAAATACTCCTAAGATGTATTGACAAAGGGAATGGCTTTGCTAGGGCTGTATGCCAGGTGAAACAGAAGATGCTCCATGTGAAGACATTTTCTGGCAGAATCAAAGGCCTTCTGGAGTTAAAATGTAGGCTCTTGACAGGAGGGGGGGAAAAAAAAGGCACAAAAAAAAAAAGCCAAACGTTTCAGACTCTGTCACAGTCAGTTATTGTTTTCCTGCTGTTCCCTTGTATCCATTGGCCTGATTCACTTCTTTACCCAGGTTGTTTCTCTTGTTCTCCACTTGCCGCTGGGATCCCTCTGGTCCTGGTTTCATTCCTGGTACTTCAGCTCCCAGCATCTTCCTGAGCATCCTGCCTGGCCATATCTGCCCTCAAAATGAAGCCAGTCGCCTTGTACTTGATGGGGAAAATCTTGGGCCGACAGTCACATGTCTTTGTAGGCTGCAGACAGGAATGGGATGTAGCAGGATGAGGTACTGGAGAGTTGGTGTTGCTGGCACTCTGCACCGAACACTTTAGTAGCTGCTCAGCTAAAACAGGGATATTTGGAGTCAAATCTATAAAGAACTAGTAGACAGATGAATGAAAGCAGTCATTTGTACGATATACATTTTTTAATCACAAGTGTCGGGCTATATATGTATATATATATAAGAAAACATGCCAATTTTCAAATGAGATGTGATTGTGCATAGATGATCATGAGTGTATTATTATTCCTGGAGGTAAATAAGCAACTGTGATGGTTATTTGTGCATTCAGAAGCAGAAGAGCTGCCTGTGATGGTTTGTTGGGGTCCTGGGCTGATGTGACTGGGAAGGCAAGGCGGGCTGTCTTTGCCCACAGCAGGCCAGGCTCCGGCAGATTGTTGGCTCAGGCACAGCCAAGATGATGCTGTCTCCATGTGCAGCTTGGTGCCAACGTGCCAATTGAGGTGATGGACCCGCACGTGTTAAGACTAAAACTCAATTTCCCGTGGATCCACAGCAGTTCTGCAAAACCTCACTGGGGCAGACATGAGCTCTCCTGTGTTTCCCCATCTTTTTGGGAGGACTGTGGAGTTGTTTAAGGGTTTTAGGATAAGCCTTCTCCGAAACCAAGACAGTTTTACCAACTTTGAGTTTACCACTGAGCAGAACTGGATGGGATTTTTTGGCCCAAAATATTATCAAAAGCTAATCATGGCTAATCCCATGTCACATACCTGGTTTTGTTACTTTGGAAAGCTAAAATGCTAAAAATCAGGAAGTGTTAATATTTTAAAAGGCTGTCTATCTATTAAATCTGTTCTAAAACATACCTGCTACAAACAGGTATGACCGGAATAATTAACACATTTTACCATTTCTAAAGTTCTGTTCATTTTTGGTTTGGAAAGGACTCACTGTTTAGCTGTATACCATCATGTTAAGTATACAGAGTACAATCATAATAGTCTATTTAACATTCATAGTAGGACAAATTTAATTGTTCTCATTTCCATACTCTTGCAGCACTAATGACTTTCCAATGTAAAATTTTATTGCCAGGAAAGGTAGAATAAGGTGTGTCGTATTTGTGCAGCTTAGCATTGCTCTGGCAAACTTGATGACCTGTGTCAGTTTTCCTCTGAGACGGTCTGTAATAGTACAGATACCTCTGAAAATATGAAATACCTAAAGCTATACTTTTTGTGTTAGGTGGTTAACTTGTATTTATTTCAGTTCAGTCTTTTCTGGTCTGCATTGGCACAAAAGGCTACTTACTGGGATTTGTATGCTTTGTTACCCAAACCTTCGAAACAATTGGGCATAATCCTCTGTTTTGTCCTGAAACTCCATAGTGAAATTGCATGTTAGAGCTTGAGATGAA